GCCAAAAACGAAAATTTGGAAGAAATTGAAGGGGTACCCCTTGGAAAAATCTCGGAAAAATCAAAAATTTTTTTTTGTTGTTTATTATTAGCAATGTTCTTCCGACGTCTGATTTCTTTTTAAAAAATGCGTTTCTAAAGTGCATAAACGTTTGGTATTGATTGTATAGCCAATACATCCTTAAATGTTCGACAGGTTTTTTTACTTTGAGAGAGCAGTATGAATAAGCGGGTGGTGATTAAGTAATTACACGTGTTTCGAAAGACATTATTACGTGTTATTGTTAATGAAGCTGAGTTTCTCCGGGTACGTTTACTATAAATTAAATAATGCACGGAATACGAATGAATTTCGTAAAGACACACGTCGTACTGTTTCTATATTATAATTTCAATTTTTACTTGTTAATAGTTATTTAACAAACTATCTTTTAAGATTACGTGATGTACGTCTGTCCATTGTTCGGACATTAAGTGGAACTGTGTTTCGTTAATTAGTTAAATGCAATATTTTAATATTATTAAGACTTATCTGCATGCGTGACCAACATCGAAGTCCAAATGTGCAATCATTTAGTTAATCGTGTACATTCTAACTGAATGCAAGTGTAGATAATGTAAATATGTATATCAGTTGTATTTTATAACTGGGCCAACGGACTCTGTTGGCGATTAATAATAATTGTCTAAAAATGCGATTCGTACTCTTACGAGGATAAAAATAGGATAATTATTACCATAAAAAGAAACTATAAATCAGCAACATTGTGTATACCTTAATAAAAATTATGTATTGAGGTACTTTTTTAAATAAGTTTTTCTTTGTATTTTTACTACAAGTTCCAATTATTTATTTGCCAACGGGAACTGAATGTGGAAGGAACAATGTATATGGAAAATCTTATTTAAATCAGAAACACACGAAAGTATGAAACAACATCTTTTATTTTTAATATGCAACAGAATTTGAATTTTCTTACAATTTCCATGTGTACACGGATATCATACATTTATCTATAATCTAAAACGAACACAATGTAACATATAAATCAGACGTTGAAAAATTTTTTTAATTCATTCGAAAATAATATATTTCACCAGTTTACATCCTCGACGATAATTAAGTTCGCGTTCCTAAAATTAGTAAAAGAGAATAGTTCGTCCACTTATTTTGACACAATTAAAAGCATCGTACAAAATCATGGTACTGTTTCAAATATATATATATATATAGGTACAATTTTAAATTCAATATTTTACACGTATCACTAGTTGAACATTATCAACGTTTTTTACGAGACTTGGAAGGTCGAGTTTGGTTCTTCTTCGCGGAATTCGAAGTCTCAGGGATCACTATACGACCCGACGCGATCTCTTCTCGCAGTTCCGAGTTTTCAACTTTCGTTTGAGCATCAAGGTAGAACATTAAATCTTGCACCTGTTCCTTTAAGTTAGTGACTTCCGTCTGTTTCGTGTTCTGATATTCCGTCATCTCGTTTTGCAGTGTCTTGTATTTATCCTGCCAAGAGGCTTGATTCAATTCCAATGCTTTTCTCAGTTCTTTCTCTTCGGTGAGTTCCGTTTGTACTTGCCCCAGTTTGTTACTAACTTGTTGCAGCCGTTTCTCCACGTTCTGTTTCTCCCGAGTCAGCGTGGTCAATTGTTCCTGATGATAAAAAAGTTCATTGATCTTCGAAAGGTGAACGTATCAGAAACCATTTACCTTGACTTTCGCGTTCTCTTCCGACACTTGACCCACTTTTTCTCTGAGCTCCGTAGTCTGTAACATAGAGTGTTGCTCCAATCGAGCTAGCCTGTCTTCGAAATACTGCCTCTGAGTCTCGAGCTGCGACGTTAACAGATACGTGAATTCTAATTGAACGGAATCCACTTTCTCTTCCATCGCCGCACCCTCGGCTTTGGTCGCCGTGGGACCGCCTTCGACCATCTTCCCATCTTTATCTTGCAACAATCTATGAACAAAATTATCCCCGACGTAATCCCAAACTCTGTTATTTCCTAACTGCATGGCGTAACAATGATGCGTCTCGCGATAATGTTGGAAGGCATGTCCTTGATGATATCGCGAACACCCTATGTGCCCGCAAATTAAACAGATCCAAAGAGCATCGTTACTTTCCCCAGTGTCTGAAATATAATTATCATTCTATCATTTTTTCCTGTCATCCTCCACAATCGAAAGGATAAGAAGTTCTTTTCTTTTACGCACTGCACTCCATGCAGTAACTATCGGCAAACGATTCCGGCGTTTGGGCGTATCTACAAACAGGACAAGAAGTGTCTCCCCACTTGGCTAAGCAGCTCGCGTGAAACGTATGATTGCAGAGGATCGTCAATATCCCGTCGACGCTTTCGTCCATCCTCTCCAAGCAAACCGGGCAGAGCGGCAATTCTGTATGTCCAGACAAAGGCATTGCATTGTACGTTACTTCCACGCTGTATACGAACACCATGTGGCAAATAACATCCGGCTCGAAGGAATTATACGGAGCCCCGTTAAAAGAGCCGTAGAACTCCGTCGCCGCATTCTGAAACATGTAAGATTCGATGCTGTAGTAAACACCCGATTCACGAAGGCACGAAGGAAACAGAATGTATTATATTACGGCTGATTTGAAAGTGATTAATGCCATGTATTGATTAGGACTGCCGTCTCTGAGTATTCGAAAGTGTCGGACGTCCTGGTGGCACGGTGCTGTGAACCTCAGGAGGTCGTGACAGGTCATAGTAGCCGGTACTGACAGAATGCAGATAGTTTGAGTGCGTTCCGCTGCATGATGTATGTCCGTCAACTTGCTGGAAGTTGTTAACAATTCTAAGCATCGCTGTATGCATTCGACGTTTAAGCAACAGGACGCGAGGCATACTTTTCCTTGTACAAATGTATAATTCCTTTGGTCACTTCGACGAAAGGGTTTCCGGAGATAAAATTGATCTGGTCGCAGGCGCAAGCACTCGCACCGGCTATCTCTGAATCGTCGTAGGTGTTCTCCTCGGAATTGGCTCTGGAAATAGAGCTGGATTTACTGGGTCCCTGAGAATGAAGAGACTGATCCTGTTTCTCCGTAAGGTTTGTGCAGTTCTCCATGTTTATCTTCGTTGGTTCTCTGCGACCCCTCATCTTGGCAGCCATCGCTCCTGGATTACGAAATCCACTGTGAATTAATCATCATACAAACAAGATATGATACTTTTAAACATTCCTTTTAGCAATCAACAAATAATTGTAAACGTAATTCATTTTTATATACCATGTATTATATTTTTAATTACCAACGAGTTTAAACGTGTTTATATATAAGAAATAAATAGTTAAATGCGAGCTACAGTAATAGATTATGTAGAACAGATAAGAACTCACAAAAATCTGTATTCGTCACGAAATTATATTTAATTGTAGTCATAAGATTTTCACAAAGAAACAGGTGATAATAGCGTAGGAATTATCCAGTGTCATTGGTTTAAACACGAACGTGTTATAAGTAAGACAGGTAGACAGTTATTTTTAAAACTGTAAAATGGAAATATTTACCATTAGATTCCTCAGAATTCTCGTCAACGACCTCGACGCGAATCACGCAGAGAGATACCAAAATAGGAGAAGAACTCATCCCATGAAACAATATTTATTCCGCATTATTACAAACAAATTTATCATTGTGCTTATTATCGTCAAGTACTTGCTGGCCTTTCAAACAATCTCCATTGTCAAACCGACGACGTTTTGCAACCTGTCGTTCGTTGCACGCTATGTATTTTCCTGTGTAGTAGTTATTTGTAGCTGTGTAGTAGCAATTTACATTTATCATTCGTTTGTCACCGTCTCTTTACTTTTACACTCTTCACCTTCACAAATCGTCTTATTGACCGATCGCATGACAATACAAGGATTTACCTGAGCGACACGGCGCAATTAATTCTGGTAATCGGTGATAATCACAAATCACAATTGCAAAACTGCCTATTCGCCTATCTGTTACCAATCTATTTTTTTATTGTACTCCTTAGTTCTCGGGTTTGTAATTTTATTATACTTGATTGTCAGATCGTGCACAATGTCATGCTTTTATTTTTACGACTCGTAGTAAACAATTACAGTTATTATAACAGAGTGAATCCGGGTTTTCGTGATCCCTGTGCAACATGCAAATGCTGCACTAAGAGGACAATTTTTAGAATTGTTCTGAGCGAGGAGACATTATGCTAAAGAGTGGCAACACCAATGTCTTCTCGGTGGCCGTAGCATGTCCACAAACCCACAAACAATTTTTGGGTTGCACGTAACGCCATCTAGCGTTCATGAAAGCGAAAGTCCTTGGCTCCGATGAATTGAAGATGCTCGTGGCGCCATCTAGCGTTCACGGCTGCGAACCCGCTTTTCTCTCTGGTGCAGCAATATTGGAGCCAAGCACTTTCGCTTTTGACAACAAATATCGTTTTTCCTCAATAACTCCCGAACGGATGGACGTAGGGGGCGTATTTAGGCTCATTTTGTAGGGGACGACGAGATCTACAATTTATGTGCAAAAAGAATTCGCCAGTGCCAATAGTTACCGAGTTATTTGCAAAAAACGAAAAACAGTTTTTTGCAAATTACTCGTAAACTACTGATGCTAGCGAGAAACTTTTATATAGAGATTGTAGGTCTCGTCGTCCCCTACAAAATGAGCCTACAAACGTCCCCCTAAGACCATCCGTTTGGAAGTTATTGACGAAAAACGAAAATTGCAGAAATATTGCCGTACATATTGGAGTCAAGGATGTTCGCAGCCGTGAACGCTAGATGGCGCCACGAGCAACCCCAAAATCTCTTTAAGTGTACAGAAATCTATGTATACAGTAGGTATCTGTGTATCTACGAGCGGAGTGCTCCCACCTACCGACGCTACCCCAACAGCCTTGAAACGGCCTTGAACCCTTGAACCTCTCCGTGCCCCTCCGAAGGCTGCGGTTGCTAAGCAACCGGCGACAGCCATAATCGCGGATCCCCCTACTTTCCGGTGCTCATGACGTTTCGTGTCACTCGCACACTCGTGTCAGTTGCCCCGCCACAGCCGTACGTGTATCTGGTTTGTGCTGCGACGATGTAAAGATGAAACGTGAATCATCAACAAATACCTCTTCATCCGGAGAGAGTGAACTTTCTTCGGAATCATATGGCAAAGGAAAAGAGCAGGGTGGACAGATTCGTTTAGCTGTCCTCAGCGGACACTTTGCCACTGCAGGAAGTTTGTTCGGCAAACTTGCCGGAAACGTTGTCATTGACTCCGTAGTAAGTGGCGACGTGACGCGAAGCCTCCTGTTCTCGTCGATATCGCGAAATTCCTAATTGCAAGTCGTACCGGTGACTCAAATGATTCAAAACCGACTTCGCGTGCACAGATAAGAAATACGTACACACTGGATCCAAGTAGCCGCGATCCATTGGAGATAAGGAGAACGTGCCGCGTTTTTTGTAATGTGTACGCTTGCGAAGTCAGTCTGGAATCCTCTCTGAGTCATCCGTACGTACACGCATATGTAATACTCCAATGAGTATACTTATTCTGCGCTCGCACGATGCTATATGTAACTAATTTATTTATTTTGTATCAAGCTCGGGTTGTCGATGAAAGGTATACTTTTGATACTGATGATAACGAGTAACACGATCGGCTGCACGTTTTTCGTGAAAGCACTTAACGCGAGCGAATCATCCTTACCATGTACAATAGTGAGCGCCGCTACCAGTTACGTGTGCTCGGTAATCTATTCTCCTATCGACATACATACATACATGTCTTACAGTAGAATTAAAAACTAGGACACCGTGTATAAAAAATATCTCTTAATAAATTGTGTTCATTTTTATTTAGGAATAAGGCATAGGTATTTATTTTTATTTATAGGCTCTCGTGGGTTCCTTCGTCTTTAACGAATCGACATCACTCAGTTGGTGGTGTGGTATATCTCTCGTTATTTTGGGTTTAATACTCATTTCTCGCGTTCCATCGAAAGACGTTTCAGGAATCTCCTCGGAAAAGTCGAAGGGCGAATAATTTCAATTTATATTTTAATATTGTTCATACATTTGATATGTGTAACGACTGAATAAATAAATATAATTATACTAATTTGTGTGTTTTTATTAATAAGTCTTCATCTTTCGAACGCATAGAATTTAAAACATAAATTGGCCTAATTGCGGGGGACTGTTATGGCTTAAAACGATTTGAACGAGATGAAGATTTAACATCATTGGTTCTTATCCTCTTTACTTTTATCAAGGAGAAAGGAATTAATGAGGGATACGAAAGCAAGTATAGAAAAAAACTGGCAGGGGAAAAGACCTGAAGTGCACTCTTGTTTTAGAGAGGAAAGTGGATCTCTGTGCTCGTAATAGCATCGGATAAGAAACGCGAGAAAAAAAAAAGAATAGACGATTCTCTCGCCCTACTTCTTGCTATTATGCACATAGAAATTAAACAAATACTTCTCTAACCGGATTTACTTCATTATACGTCCATCTCATTTATTCCTTCTTCGTCTCTACACGAGCCATATATAAACTCGTTGGATTTCTGCCCAATATAAACATAGAGAAGTTCGCGTCCTCCTTACTGGCATATGACGAGAGATTTGTGTGCAAATCGAGCCAAAATCGAATGATTCACTTCTGAATTTAAAAAGAGTCATTCAATTTTGGATTTCTTTTTGAAAAGAGTTCTGCGTTCACCCTTTGCACTCTTGAGATGAAGAACATCGAAAGTAAAACGAGTGCAAAGAGTTAACAAGCTCCGGGATCGATTTCCTTGCTCAATTATTAAACTAATCATAAAAACGAATCAATAAAATATGACCGCTCATTTATCCTATAGACACGCTCGCGCGAGTGTGCATGTATGCCTGTGAAGGTAGGTCAGTCCACGGTTGCTACCACTCGGTTACATACATAGACGGTAGAAGTCCAGTTGGAATTGTTGTCCTCTGCGAACTTTCAATCGGTCAGGTTTCCAGTTTGTGGAGCAGGGTCGTAGTCAACTCGAAGGTGTAAATATCGTAGGAACGTTCCAGGCAGGGGCACGAGAAAGAGAACGCGAAGTAAGCGCAAAGGGGTGGAGGAGCTTTATCGAGCGGCGGCTGCGCCCCAGGGGTGTTCTCTTATACCGCCGTCTACCGACCAGTAATCGCCTCCTAAAACCAGAGATACATCTATATAATTAATATTTCCTCTTCTTGTTTCTCTTTTTCTTCTTTGCTTTTTCCGAAGCACACGTCTCGTTAATTGGTGCCACGCCACTGAATGCTAATAAACGACCGGCCTTAATACCGTTCATTATTAGGCTTACAACTTCGAGCAGTAAATTTTAATACTGTACTTTTACGACCTTCTGGATGCTTAAACTATTTAGAAGAATATCCGCACTTTTTGCTAAGCGTTATTGAGCACCAATTCTGTTCGACTTTGGCTAAAGTTTTCTGCAATCAACTGCATAATTTATCATCTAGCAATCTATAATCGTTGGTCACCGTGTTTCTACTGAAACGGTGTCACGTCTAACTAATAACGTATTAAAGTACAATTAATTTTAACAATGTTTACCCCACGAGTGTTCGTCGTAGCTACCCTCGGCTGATTCGACTTGCTGCTTTACTGCCTCGTGCACGCGCTTTGCATTCTCCCCTCTATGTGGCTTGAATCCTCCCTCTCGACGGTGTTCTCCCACTCGGTGGCGAGTGCCCCTAGATTCCGGCAACGCTCCTCGCACCGAGAGACAACGGGACAGTTTTCGTACGGCGCACCGTTCCTATCAATCGAACCGAACAGCGGAATACCGACGAGAGAGCCTGTGTGTGCGTCGTGAGTGCGCGTGCAGCTGCATTTTCTCGGTCCGATCGTTCTCCATTGCGTGCGCGTTCACGGCACGGAGCCGTCAGCGAAGGTGCCTTCACGAGAGAGTGTTGACAGGTATAGTGGATCGCCTCCCGTACGATCAATCGGTTGGCCCCATAAAAAAATCATCACACCCGCTACACCGAATGTCTCGCGACTCTTCCCACTTTCCTCCTCTCTTCTCCTGTCTCGCTCGGTCGCTATGAGAAATCTGTTGTTAATTAACAGCGGTTAATTAAAACGGATAATGTAAACACCAGGGGAATTTTAATTGATTCGTCTCCCACGGGTTTCATGCCGCAGTTTCGAACAAACCCTTATAAATGTGACCACCGCCTAGGTGTTAATTAATGCCTTCTTAATTATTGTAAGCTTTCCTCTGTCATGCATAATACGTCGAAGCAAAATTAAGTTTCAAATCAATTTGCTATGTTAAAAATTGTTCGAAAGATTCAACGAAATCTTGTAATAGAATAACCGAAATTATTATTACTGTCGAAATAAAAGAGGAAAAGATTCGATCAGTTCGTGGTAGGAAAAACGTACTTCTCTTTCTGCGCAGAGATTATGTTACTGCCATTAGATATTTATGAAGGGAGATTCCAGATACCAACGACACGTTATTATTACTGGGAGAGCATTTAGATTTAAACGTAGCTGTTTGGCTGCTCGTGCAAACTTGGCCGATCTAGCGACACTTGACTCTTACGTAAATTATTATTCCGTTGAATTTGACGTTTGCTTAAATCAGCACACGCAAGACCGACTTCGATTTTCTATTTGGCCGCATTCCAACTAATACGGTAAAACCAAAGACGCGGAAACTTTTTAATTTATCGCCACAGGGAGAATAAAGATTGTGCCTGGGAGCCGCGTTTCATTCTCTCTCCACAGTCCTCCTCTTTAGAGGATACACTGTCTGTTTAAATTGTCAGGGAAAATCGGCCAGAAAATATAGCATCCGCACGGCCCAGTAAATGAAACAAAAGCAGTCTGCCTTTAAATTGCTCCGCTTCTCTTCGATATTTAATGCCATCTTAATCGCCTTCCCTTTTGTCCCGTTGTTTTCATTATCCTACCATTAAATCGTCGACATCGATACGTCGCCTGTTTCCCCTCCAATATATTCGCTCTTTGACACTTACAATCAGTTTTCCGCAGTCTGTGATAAGGACTTCAAACTCGTAACCTAACCTACTTCGTTGTTTAAATTTACACGATCTTCGGAATCGCACGGTTCAATTGGTACTCAACCAACCGCACCGGAATAATTGCACGCACAGACACGTAGGTCCCTTGTAGGAAAAAATAACAGCATTATTTGAGAGAGTGTTTCGTGACGATCCATTCTAATCTCAGATTCACGCCAGTGTCACGTGGATAATTTGTTATAGGAATAAATTAACTAAGAAGGTGGTTCGATACTTTACGACAAGCAGTAGAGTTCGCTTAATCTTGTTCTTCATTTCCAGATTTCCTTAAGACTGCCTGTTTCACATGTTGTAAGGGTTTATATAGGGTTTCAGTTTTGGAGTGGAGGCGGTTCAGGCTTTGGGTAATTTTGGTCATAGCTGTTGTGTCATAATTTGATCTGTGTCACGGGCCCCATGTCCTATGTGTGTAGATAGAGCTTCTTATCGGGTGCATCACATCAGAGCGGTCCCATTCTCTTTTCTCCTAAATTATGAATAAAGAAAAGATGCGTCGACTTTGTGTAACAGTGATCTTCGTACGGGAGGAAATATATTTTTATAATATGCGTCGACTTGAATTCTATTGACAGTGTCGAGGAGATGAACATTTAAAATAACGTTTAAATCTTTGTGAACGAGGCATCATGAAAGTGCGTTACGAGAAGCTTGTCGGAAGCGTTTGAACGTTTCAATTAATTCACCCGATCAAAACCAGTGAGAGGAGTCTTCAACGAGGATGCCGGGGGTGGGACGTCGCGGTTGGCAAGAACGAAGCTGTTGTTCAACAATAAGATCACCGAGGAGCGAGCTCGAGAGACGAAAGATAATGGGAGATCGTCGTCGAATCGTCGTGAGCGTGTCGACCGATTAAACTGATATACCGTTTTATCAGAGATCTACGATTCCGCTTGTGGCCCGGGGGAATAACGCGCGCAGCAAACCGACACCATGGGGAATGGCATGAACAAGGTGAGCTATTTATTCTCGAAATCCGTGTTTTCATACAACTTTTCCGACGAAAGTAATGCGAGCAGTAAAAACGTGCCCGTCGCGTGCAACAGTAATTATTAATGACACGATTATGTTAATTTCCTGCAGGCACGGTTTCTGTCTCGGACTACGGAGTTTTATGTAAAATTTATTACTTTTATATCAATTTAAAACTGTAAAACACTCTGAGCCCTGAAAAACAGAAAATATTAACCCTTTAAAAATTTAACCAAACTGTAATATTTAACAGATTTTGTTGTATTCAATAAAAATGAAAAAATTGGTAAAATTTTATTATTTGTATACGTTCTTTTGGGTATAAAATGATTTGAAGTACCCCTAAAGTTCT